GCCACCTCTCAGAGAGTGAACATTGACGAAGAGATTCAGCACAAGACCCAGTGTGAAAATGCTTTCTTTAGAAAATTGCTTTGGCATGTCTTTTTTCATCACAGTCTCTGGAAAGATATCAAGATCCAGGTCTACTATTCAGTCATTATCCTCACTCTCCTCTATGGATGTGAAACATGGGTGACTACTGTCATCATCTCAAGAGCCTGGAGAGACATCATCAATGATGTTTCTGGAAAATCCTCCACATCAAATGGTAAGATTGCTGCACCAACACTAGGATCCTTGCTGAAGCCAATGTTACCAGCATTGAGTTGATGATCTTTGAGCACCAGCTTTGCTGGACCATTGTGTGCGGATGCCTAACACAACTCCCAAAACAAATACTCTATTCCCAATTTAGTAATGGCCTGAGATCTTGCGGTGGCCTGAGGAAGTGCTACAAGGACACATTGAAGGCATAGCTCAACAAAACAATTAGTGACGCCAAGAGCTGGGAGGATCTGGTTGCTAACTGACCCCAATGGCACCACGACCTCAACCAAGCAGCAGCCGGTTTTGAGGTAAAGTGTCTTGCCCTCAAAGCAGAGAAGAGAGAGAGGAGGAAGGAAAAGGAGAGGAAGCCCAGCCTGTAACCCACTTTCTCTTGCAGAAAGACTTGCATCTTCTCTGGACTGGTCTGTGGCTCGAAAATTGGACTCCTAAGTCACCTCAAGACCCATCAGTGAGCTGTGGTAGAGATCATCCTCTAGTCGAGGGATTGCCAGTGGTGACATTGTTCATCAGTGTTTCTTTCACCAGAATTTGGAACGTATTTCTTAACACTGCCACTGAAGCCTAGGGCACGCCTTCCTTTCTGAAGATTTTAGGACATGTGAAAACCTGTCATGAAATATGATTCCTTTCAGCCTTAGTCAAACAACTTTAGCCTGAGGGGGAAACATATCACTTCAAAGGCATTTTTTCCCAGTTTCAGGGACAGAAGGAAAAGCAACAAACTGACAAGGAAGGGGCAGAGAATGGTAGTATAGATCCACAAAACAGACCCCATCAAGAAATTTCTATATGAAACCCACAGGAAGAGTCTCATTTTAATGACTTGTTTATGGTAAAGCTTGGTGCCTCTTTTCCATCTGGCTAGAGGTTGCTCCATGTAATAGAGCAAACAGTACAGCAGCTATTGGCCAGGCAGTAATCTGGCACTGAGTCTAACCAGACTGTCATTTCTAGGTCAGCCTCTACATTTCTGCTGACCAAATTGCCTTCATCATGAGATCATGTCTTTCCAGAGAAATCCCACTAATGCCCTCATTCTGTGGAGGTGGTATATATAGAGGGAGGTTCTCTGTGTTAGCAGCGTGCAGTCCAGCAAAGACATCACTGTCCTCTAAGTGATTGCACTGTCTTCTCTCTTACCATTAAACTTCAATAGAAGACATGGACATTACCATCCAGCACCCCTGGTTCAAACGTGCTCTTGGACCCCTGATTCCAAGCCGTTTGTTTGACCAGTTTTTCGGGGAGGGTCTTTTTGATTATGAACTCCTGCCTTTGTTGTCCTCCACCATCAGCCCTTACTACAGGCACTCTCTCTTCCGCAGTGTTTTGGAATCAGGCATTTCTGAGGTAAGACTTCTTTACTGCTATCAGTTCATGGAGAGTAATATGCCTCCTGCTATTTTCCATGATTCTGTCAAACTATATTTATAAGCTGAAATTTTAAGACTCTGATGCAAGTGGGTGTCGGAAAACCTTTTGACTCAGTGAAAATCAAGAGGTCATTTGTAGCGCAGGAGAAATCTTCCTTGCTACCATCCAGAAAAAGAAAGGCTTGGCCCATAGCATTTTTACAATAAATTCAAAGAATTGCTTCCCTGTCCTGTGTTCACTAAGGGTGGGAAGAAAAGAAAAAAACTTAGCTGCTTCTGTAACAGGTTTTTTTGTAATTGAGCTCAGTGTAAATACAAGCTTGAGTAGGAATATTCTGGCTCTCCCTCCCCCTTTCATGGATTCTGTATTCTTTGCAGTCCTACACTGGAAATCCCAAGAACAGTTCACAAAAGACTGAATACAAATTGGAAAAAAAAAGCTGTGCTTTCTTTTTATACTTTGAGCTTTATTCAAAACCATCGGATCAGAAGTGTCAGTGAGTGTAGATACGTGCGCTTTTCCTATTCTGCCAGTCTTTTCAAAAGTTTCCTCCAAACGCTACCAGAAGCCCAGTAGAAAAAGTGATGGATTCACAAAATGCCTTATAGTATGAAACAATAAACTGATATAATTCTACCTCTAGCTTCTGAGCGTGAACCTGGGAGACAATAAACCTATCCTGAGAAAAATAAAGGTAAACCAATAAAAAATAGAGCAAGGAAGTGATGCAGACACAAGAAGCAATAAAAGTGACTTTGAATTTTACTCTAGTCTCCCAATCACAGAGCTTCATCCAAAGCTTATTAAAATTAATGAAGAATCCTGATTACTTCAGTGGACTTTGGGTTAGCTCTATGACCCTTCTATAGCCTTCTCAAATCAGTTACAGAGCGAGAGTCTGAGAACTATTTTGTCAAAGTATTTATATCAACACGATTTTTAACATGGATTTTAAAAATTTACTCTACAATGTTAATTTCAGGTGAGATCTGACCGGGACAAGTTTACAATCATGCTGGATGTAAAACATTTCTCGCCTGAAGATTTAAGCGTGAAGATTATTGATGACTTTGTTGAAGTCCATGGCAAGCACAATGAAAGACAGGTAAGCAGAAAAAATTCAGCAGAGAGTGGTGGGGCAATATTTCTGCTCTGTTTCTTTTCTATTTTAAAATATTCCTCAGTTGAAAAGAGTGTTTTCAAGAAAAAATGGAAGATGATAGTTTTTCTTAGTTTCTTCCCACACCATTATTTTTCAGATATTAGAGTAATCAAACTAAATGTACATGCCTGAGTCTGGTAGAGATGAAATTTGTTTTCTGATAAGAAGATAATCCAGTTGTCTTTATTCATTTTAAATTGTCATTTTCCTGTGCAGTCAGATGATCAGATGACAAAGAACAATGCACATTATTGATGTCTGACTAGAAAAAGAATGTTATTTGAAGTTGCCAAAGAATGGCTGGGTTTGCATAAGCCAGGATCACTAATGAACGCCGAATTTTCATATGCTGGGTTAGATGAGAAGACAAAAACAAAACAAAAACCCAGTAAGGGCCCGAGGCTTGGAAACTTACCATATGCATGACATGGGAATTTCCAAAAGGTTTGAAGTATAAATATTCCTAGCAGAGGGTCTCACTTTTCATTCATAAAGATCCTTCCTGGAAAAACAAAATTTGTTATTAGAATTGATTTTTTTCTATGTATTTTTCTGAGGCTGCTACCAAGACAAAGGGAAAGAATCACCTTTATTATCTGTCTTTTTTTTTTTTTTAAGATTTCTTTTTTCAGCCAACAGCATCAGCAGGACATTTGCTCTCCAGAGGTGCCAAGCACCTATGGCTCCCTCTGAAATTGAGGGCAGCCACAGGTGTCCAGCACTCTGAGAGAGATCTATTTTGTAGTAAGGCCAAAAGTCACCTTGGACACTTGGGGACGCCTTGGGAACTTCAGTAAAGCTGCACAGGATATCACGCAGGACAGATTTTGTTTCCTAGTAGAGTGGAATGCAGATTATAATGTACGTGCTTTCATAGTCTGGTCTGAAGTAATGATCTCATTATAAGTCAAATCTGGATTTGAAAGAAGTGGTTGAAAAGAAGTGGTTGGAATATGGAGTCACACCCTGGCAGTGCAGAGGGCTAAGAGAGGTGAAGGATGACTAAACAGTGGTGTAACACAATGTTTCTGACTGAACCACCTCTTTTTCTCCTGTCTCTTACCAGGATGACCATGGCTACATCTCCCGTGAATTCCACCGCAGGTACCGCCTGCCTTCCAGCGTGGACCAGTCTGCCGTCACCTGCGTCCTGTCTGCTGATGGCATGCTGACCTTCTCTGGTTCCAAGGTCCAGTCTAATGTCGATACCATTCACAGCGACAGACCCATTCCTGTAGCCCGTGAGGAGAAGCCCACCTCGGCTCCTTCTTCCTAAGCTAAACCTGCTACTGAAGCATCCAGGCTGTCACAATTCGCAGGCCTCATTCACAGAGCCATTGCATAGCTATCAGTGCATTCTAGAAGGGTTTACTTTTTCTTTTCACTTTTTTCCCCTTGGATGGAATGAGAGGCTGGGTGAGCAGCTAGTGGCTTTTGAAGCTTAAACCTAAAAAAACTGTGATGTCAGGATGACATGAAACAAGGATGCTGCCAAGCTGATGTCTTTGCTGAAACAGCCATGTATTGTGGTGTACAAGGTAACATCTACCAGATATTGAGGAGTGCACAAGTAACACCAACACCTGATATACCGATTTTTAATGTAAGGCTCAAGCAGGAGAAAGCCCTGCAGCCTTGCTCTGTTCTAAGTGAGAATTAAGCTAATTGCCTTAAAAAGAGCCTGAGACACTGTGCACCTGAAATGAATGTACCATGAATTCCTTGAAGCAACAGGAGAACCACTGACCTGTCACATGCAGCAGCTGCAACAATTTTTCAGTAAAGTTTTTAAGTGTATCTGTTTATGCCACTCCAGTGTCATCTTCCCCCAGTGACAACTGATGCAAGGATAAGCACGCTGTTCCACTGTCTTTGTAGATCCTTCATGGGGGTCCATCGCTGTGCTGAGGCTTCAAAATCCCACCAAGCTCTCCCCAGCCTCCATGTCTCACACCATTTTTCATAAATCTTGCTGTAACTCTAATGTAGTCCCACCTGTTCTGCTGATACTTGGCATTCAATACAAGCACTCAGTCAATGGCAGTCAATAAAAAATATAAATAAGAAGCAAAATTCCAGCTGCTTTCTTTATTTCCTTCCATGCTCTTTGAAGCTAAAAGTGGAGTGCATGTTTCTCTGCACAGAACATGCAGAAAGAAATACCAATAAGATACCAGGTCTTTCAGTAGCCAAACAAGGGGTGGGCAAGCAGGGTTCTAGCCCCAGGTGCCAACTTAGAGGTGGCACCAGAATGGCAGACCAAGTGGCGGCAGCAACTGGGCTAGAACCTGCACTGTGGCTGCAGCAGCCAATATGCAGGGAACCTGCATTGTGGCGGCAGCAGCAGCCAGCCTTTCCCTCCTCCCACCTTCCCCATTCTCTGGCACTTGGCACTCTCCCTCTCCTGCCACCTCTTGATAGCATTTCTGTCCAGAGGGCTAAAATGCTAGCCATGCCTTCAAGTTCTTTTGAGCTCCCATTTTTCCTCATTAAAATGCCATTTCCTAAGTCAGTTGCTTTTACAAAGGGGCAAGGCAGACCTTGAACATATAATACCAAAGAAAAGAGGATACTATTCCTTGTTTATGACCAAAGATCTCTCAGGGTAAATATAGGTACTGCCCCTTTACACTCTTCAGCACTTAGGTTATCAGAAATTCTCATACCAGTATACACATATCTCTACAGACTGCGTTGAAGAAAGAATGCAGGGAGGTGTTTTTTTAACTGCAGTATCAGAATAAGGCTCCATTATAACTGCAATGATTCACATCACATATGCACCTTTTTCAGACATGGCACTAAAGTTTTAGAGAGACCAGCAGTAACAGCTGGGGCAGAATGAAAAAAAAAAGCCAGAACCATTTTTTTTTTTATAGATAGGGATAGTTTTTCTTAACTAGGAAGCGTAGATACTAAGAGGGTGTGTCTACGTGAGAGGTTTACTGCAGAGCTATTTAATTAGCTCCACAGTAAACGTCTCCACATCCATACACACTGTCCTATTATGGCACATGAAACTAATCAATTCTGAAGCAGGATAGTACCTGTAGGGTGCATCTACAGGTGCAATTACGGTGCCTGAATAAACTGCAGAGCTTATTGCGTAGGAGTTAATTGCTCCTGGGAATGCTGTTTGAACGTGCACCCGGGAGCAATTAACTCCAGAGGAATAAGCTCTGCAGTTTATTCAGGCACAGCACATGGAGCTGGGGTGGAGCAACCCCAGCTGGCAGGGGGCCCCAGGGTCCGCCTGCCAACCTGGGGCTGCTCCCCCCAGCTCGATGTGCTGTGGAGGGGCTGGCTGGGGCATGAGGGAGCTTCAGCGCGGGACTAGCCAGCAGGTAATTCCTGCACTGAAGCATCCTCATGCCCCAGCCAGCTCCTCTGCAGCACATTGAGCCCTGTTGGAACAGCCATGGGCTGCTGCCAGCCAGGGCTGCTCCAAACAGGTTCAATGTGCTGCACATGAATAAACTCCAGAGTAATAAACTCTGGAGTTTTATTCATGCACATCAATTGCATGTGTAGCTGCACCCAGAGTCTATAGGGTTAAATTCAAGTTGTAACACCCATATATTTTTGCTGAAAGATTTCAAGATTATATAATGTGAAGTAGACTGAAGAACAAACCAAGTGCATGGCTCTTGGGAGTGATCACTCCTCTGTACCCAAAATGGGGGGACCATTTCAAGAAGAGCGTTAGCTGAAAATAAGGTTTTGCTAACAAGAAATGCCCATCAGGAACCTCCTCTGTACTGGGGGACACCTGGCAACAAAACAACTACAGTGCCTGATGCCAACTGGGATTAACCCTTTAATGCAGCATAACCGCATAACCATAGTCCTTATTAAAGAGGTGCATTTCTTCAGTCATGTCTAGTCCCAAAAGCAGGGGTGGAGTGTGGGATGAAAGAGGACATCAGCTGTTACTCAAGTGCCATCATATGACCTTGGGCACACTGAGCGACTGATATCACTTGGGGCCAGCTGTTGCTACTGTGATAGTAATGAAGATAAGTAAATGAAGCCCCATCAGAGACAAGTTTGCTTTAGGCCTCATATCTATAAGGTACTGAGCACCTTCTATTCCCACTGAACTTGGAGGGCATTAAATTTGTTCAGCATCTCACTGGATCAATCACATAATAAATCATCTTTTTTTTTGTTTACATCTTGTTTGAAGACAATATGGGCTTAAAGTTCTTCTCAGAGAGCCCCAGATTAGGAAGAGATTTTTATTTCAGGAATCCATAACCTATGGCCTGTGAGGCAAATTCAGTCTGCAAAACCATTTAATCTAGCCTATGAACATGGGGCTTCAGCAGCATTTGGTGCTGGGGGCTCTACCATCAGTCACTTTCCCTGTGCTGCCACTGGGAAAAGTGCTGGTAGCTACTGGGTCCTAGCACTCATGCACCCCCTGCCTGCCCACCTCTGACTGCAGCCAATTCCCTTTCATAGGTGCAGGATGCACAGTTTCTAAACCCAGGTAATGCCCAACCAGCCTCTTCCTGGAAACCTCCAATAAAAAATACCTTTCATCTTCCCTGGACAGTGTGTTCATTTGTCCTGATGCTCTTGCATTTAAGAAGCTTATCCCAAAATTTAATTTAAATCTGCTTTGCTGCAGCTTAAACCCATTGGGCAAATATCCTGCCTTCTATGCAGGGGAGAACATTTTTTCACTATCTTCTTTATGGTAGCCTGTGACAAGTTCAGAGGCCTCATTCCCCAATATCCTTTGTGCAATCTGTTCAGGGTAGCAATGTTCAACAGTCTCTGCCCTCAGCAGCATCACTGATGAGTCCCTTTTCCTGGGGGCACATATCACCAAGCTAAACACTCACTATACTACCATGGTCATCCCACTCCTTAGGTCTCTCCAGCCCTCTGCTCTACTCTGAAGGTCTCCCTGACAAGCACCCTGCAACCTCCCCAGCCTACAGCCCTGCCACTGGGAGCTGTCCCGCACCAAATTTCTGGAACTCTTTCTCTTCACAGACCTGGGTCTAACGTATTTGCCTTGCCTGGCTCACCTTTTATATATACAGCTCTGGGTGGATGGAGCCAGAGTAGGTGGCTCTCAGTCTTTTAAAGAGTCAACTCCCAGAGGTCTACAGATACTTACCCAACACCTCTGCAGTGGAGAGCCACTTAACCCAATTACTCAGTCTTCCAAATATGTGGAAACTACTGTCATATTTCCCACATAATCTCCCTTTCTCCAAACTTATACTACGTAGCTCCTCCATACACTTGCATTCCAACCTTTTTATCACCTTCTTCACTCACATCTAGATCCTCTCCAGTTTCAATACAACCTCCTTAAAATGAAGTGCTCAAATGAGGACATAGTGCTCTAGCTGAGGCCTAATTAGTGCTGAGTAGCGTGGCACCATCACTTCCCATATTTTTCTTATAATGCTTCTCTTAATGCAGGTTAAAATTGCATTGGCTTTCTTTGCAATGGCATCAGGTTTCTGGCTTGTGTTGATTTTATGACCCATTATAATCCTCAAAACTTTCTCAGCAGGGCTACTGTCAAAGGCTCCCCCTCCCTCCACCCAATGTGTACCTGTCCATTTGGCTTTTATTTCCTGTTCCTCCCAGCTCACATCTGTGGCTGACAGATGTTAAGAATGACAGATGTCAAGAACTCAGCTGACAAGGGAAGGAGGAGAGGAGGAATAGGAGGAAGAGGAGAAGAAAGCAACTTGTCCTTTTGTGTGGGGCATTCTTTAAGTGCTCAGAGTGATACTTACCTCATTTGTCTATACTGAATTTTATTTTGCTGCCTAGAACCAGTTCTCCAACTTACAAAGATCACTTTATATATTAATTTTGTTCTACACAGTGTTTGCAACTCCATCTGGTTTTGTTTTGTCTCAACATTTGAGCAGTATTCTCTCTCTTCCCACATCCAAGTCATTGATAACAATGTTAAACTGCTCTAGATCCAGAGCAGACCCTGTACAACAGACCCACCTGAGATCTCCTACCAATCCAATGATGACCCATTAATCATTAATCTCTGTTTGCAGTTATTCAAACAATAATGTCTCCACTTAATGCAAAATCTATATAGATCACATTTGTCCAGCTTATTTGTGGCATTGTTTCAAAAGTCTCACTCAAATCCTGATATATTAGGCCCAGTACATTCTCCTTAGCCATGAAACTAGTTGTTTCCTCAAAGAAGAAAATTGCTGTGGTATCATCTACTTTTAACAAATCCATGGGTGCCTGTACACGTGCAGGGATGCTGCTCCGATG